GGTCATTTTAGTCTTTGGCAAGTATACTTCTTAAGCACCCAAACTTATCCAAAAATAATATTTATACCCCTAAACTAAAAACAAAATAAATAAATCCTCTAACTCCACTAATGATACAAAGTGCTTGTTTGGTGTGGCTAAAATTTTTAATAAAAGTTCTGTAGGAAAAAAAAACTGTTGCAGAAATGCTATTTTTATAAATAGGAAGAAAAAAAAAAAAAAAGATAATGTGTTAATTTCACTAAAACCCAAATGAAAAGTTTCTACAAAAGCACTAGAGATTTGGAACGAAATTGACAAAAGACAAATTTATGAGAAGTTATAATTTTTTTCATGAGTTGTAGTATTTGGTGTAATTAGAGTTTTTGAAATCGAAAAAGACTTTCCACCAGCTATACCAAACATGCACAAATAAACTATTCTCACAAACGGGCCAAAAGCATGAAAATCTATGAATGAGAAAGGTTTATTTGCATCATTAGTGGAGTTGAAGGGTTTATATGTTTCGTTTTTAGTTTAAGGGCTTAAATGTTATTTTAGGATAAATTTAAGGGATTAAGAAGGGTTTTGCCTTAGTCTTTTAGCACAAACCACACAGAATCACAGATATTGCGTCCAGTCCACCGGCAATTGCCGGTTACCTCTCGTCTACCACGAGGCGTGTGAAACCTGAAAACCCAACCGTGTCTTTCTCTCCTCAACCGATTAACGCCGGTTTCACGGGAAAAATCGTGCCGGTTTCTCAGTCCCTTTCTGCCCATCTTCTCCTCCTTCCATATAAATAGATGTGAGGGTTGCGCTTCGCCTTCATCCGCCCTTCCTTGCTCTTGCAATCCTAAGCCTTGGGGTTCTCTGTTTTACAGTTATAGCAGTTTGGTTATGATAGCTGCCGGTGGCCGGAAATCCGAGAGCCTTTGCTCTTCCGCCGCTCTCGGCTTCCCTCGCGTTAGGTTTTTCCGATACCGGCGCTTGAGATAACTGGTAACGTGCATACCGTCACAGAAAAAGGAGATAAAAGAAAATTTTTAGTTTTCTCGTTTATTGGTGTTACTGTATCATCTATATCTATAGCTCGATCGATTATATTAGATGCCGAATTCGAAGGGAAATCGGAGGGGACAGGAACAGGAGAAGAGTCGGCGGGGAAGGTTAACCGAGAAAGCGTCGTCGTTTCACGGGAAGATTCCTATGCCGAGTTCGTCGACGGTGGCAACAGCCGAGCTCCGGCGTCCGATGACGCTGCCGCAACTGCTGTCTGAGAGGACTATCTCGATCGGAGTTTCTTCGCCGGAGGGGAGGCCGAAATTGACGAAACTGCTCTTGAACGTGACGATCCAAGGGAGTCTAGGTGCGATTCAGGTGGTGCTGTCGCCTGAGAACGACGTAGGAGACATAATCAACGCCGCCTTGAGGCAGTACGCGAAGGAAGGCCGCCGCCCTATTTTTTCATCTACAAATCCCTCTCACTTCGACCTCCATTATTCTCAATTCAGCTTAGAAAGTAAGCTAACTTCCCCTAATTCAATTCAATTAATTTGCTAGAGATAAAAACCTGTTCGGCGCGATTATTGATTGAAAAATACTTAAAATATTTTCTGCCGCCAGGTTTGGATAGGGAGGAGAAGCTGATTTCGTTAGGATCGAGGAACTTCTTCCTTTGCCCAAAGAGAACGGGGACGGCGACGGACGGTGGCGGCTCATCGACGTCGTGTTCGAAGGAAGCGGAGAAAGTTTCAAAGAGCGGGATTCCTTGGCTGAAGTTCATCGATTTCATGCTGTAAACCGGAATTTCCTGGTACTGCGACTCTCAGATTATTCAATTCAGGATGCAGAACTTGTTCTGGATTTGTTCGTAGCTTTCAAAATTCACTGTTTAATTAATTAGCTGAAGGAGTGATTCAAAATTTTCTCTGTTTTTTTTGTTTTTTTTTTTTTTTGAATTTCCTGTGGCATATGTACAGTTTCAGAATGGCTTTTGAAGATTGAAATTGTAGAAAATGTATTATATTCAATTTTCATCCATACTAAAAAGTGTGTAAAAATATTACAAAATGTTTACATGAAGTCGAAATCACAATTAAAATGCAACGGAGCATAAAAGCTCCAATTGTTTTTTTTTTTTTATAACAAATTTGTAAGGGTTGGGTTCGAATCGTTGTTCTGTGATGAAAAAATATATTTATACATGATTTGATGTCACTGGATTGAAAGGTTCAAGTGCAGAAGCTCCAATTGTTTTATAATTCTTTGTAAATAATTCTTAATAATGGTTTTATATATTGCATGTAATTATGTAAATCATCATTAAATTTCTCCTTTTTTTTTAATGATTGATAATATATATTAAATACTTTAATTTATATTAAGATTTAAATTCTTATTAAAACAATTATAATATTTTTCCATCCCTTCAAGATTTCCCTTGATTCAAGAAAAAAAAAAGTAAAAAATGAAAAATAAATAGAACAAGTATTTGCAACTCTCCTTATGACCGGTCAACTGACTAATAGTCAAATTTAAAAGGGAATGATGTTGGTTCAAAATTCTAATTCCTCAGTCCCTAAAATTTGTACTTGTTAAAAAAAAAAAAACAGCATTTACGTCTACCATCATTAGTCCATTATCAATGTCAGAAGGAGGAAATCATTTCATTTGTGATAGCAATTGGGATAGCAATTGGCAAAGCTTGCAGACATGATTGAAAGAACACAAAAATGGATGGAATGCTCGGGACCAGTCTGCTAATATTTGGGTGGGTTCTCCTTCATGTGTGTATTTATAGAGAGGAGATTGCTAAAAAAAAAAAAGCAATCTCTTAAAAGAATTGAGTTCAAATCAGTAAGAGTTTAATTAATTTTCATTTTTT